CCTTGGTTAATGAGTCCTGCACAGCATGGTCCTGCCAACCCATCACCCCCCAAGCTAAACTCAAGTGACACTGGCCCTCCTTCAGTTCCTCAGACACACCAAGTTGCTCCCTGCCTCGGGACCTTTGCACACGCTGTACCTTGTGCAAGGAACACTCGCCCACCCCTACCCAGAGAGCTAGAGAAACAGAGAGAGGAAGGGCATCACTCCTCTTTGCTGGCTCTGTCACCTGCTCTAGGTCCCAGTTGATAAGTCACATCCTCAGCAAGACTCCCTTCTACAGCAGATCTTCCAAGTACTCTCTTGGCATGGTTGGTTCCGTTGAAGTAGTTACCCCCACATTGTAAATCCAACAGATAGGCTCCTAATCAGTCATCTTGTCTTGCCCTAGAGTCCAGGTGTCATTCCAGATTGCAGTCCTCTGCCTCCTGGACTCACCCACATCTCAGCAATGGTCACACCAAACCATTCTGGTCGACTTTGTATCTCCAGCACTCCCTGAGCTCCGTCAGGGCAGAAACTGTATTTATCTCCCCCATCATCATATTATCAGCACTTAGCACAGTGCCTGGCACACAGCAAGTCCTCAACAAAGTATTTGCCAAATGAAGGAGTCATGAGATCTGAAAGCATTTAAGGTTTGGAGCAAACTTTCCTCCAAGGCTAAGGGACATACAAAACAAAACCAGCTAAAGGTGGTCCATGCTTAAATTTTTAATTTTCTTTTTTTTTTTTTTTAAAGATTTTATTTATTTATTTGAGAGAGAATGAGATAGAGAGAGAGCATGAGATGGGGGAGGGTCAGAGGGAGAAGCAGACTCCCTGCTGAGCAGGGAGCCCGATGCGGGACTTGATCCCGGGACTCCAGAATCATGACCTGAGCCGAAGGCAGTCGCTTAACCAACTGAGCCACCCAGGTGCCCCTAAGTTTTTAATTTTCTATGTAAAGAAAGAATGAAATGATCTTGTGCTCATTTTATTTTCATATAAAGAGGAGCATAAAACCATGAGGCATACAAAAAAAATGAAGTTTTATAGTGTGGTAAATAAAAAAGAGAAGGTTGGGGACCAATCATTGAGGGGGGGAAGGAGCCATGGTACAGTACAGAAATAGAAACAGATGTAGAGATAAAGAGAGACAGATCAAGAGAGAAACCAGCAGAAGTATCTAGGCAAGGTACAAAACAGGGCTTCGCTGCTTTTCTGGGTACGAAAGGGCAACCCTCCAGATTTCAAAAGGGGTTTTCACTCCTACCTAAGGGGTAAGAACACTTGTCTTAAGTCCCCTCTTCACTTCATTTTTCAAAGAAGTTTTCTAAAAACTGATTTACTATGCTAAAAAAATCAGTGGTTAGCACATTGCATTTTGAAGAGAACACAATCTATTCAAATGATTTTTTTTTTAAATACTTCACTTTGTATCTTTAGAGAATGTGGCTACAAACTTTTAAGTCAGGCACTGGGTTTTTCAAAGTTACAAGCAAGAAGAGGGATGGATCCTTGGGGGCTGTCAGAAGGAGGGGCATGAACTTCAAGCACAGTTCAGCAGGGTCTTTTGAACTGTACATCCCACTCATTCCCTTCTCTGGAACTTTCCATGGCCCCGGCCCTAGATGAAAGGGTGAGCAGAGTCTACCATTGCACATGGTCTAACCACTCTGGCCAAGCCACCTAAACCAGTGGGCCTTCCCAACTGGGGCCAATTAGAATCTCCCTAAGAAATCGCCATTTGGGCCCCAATGAGCTGGTGCCGGGACAACACATAAAACTGATAGGCAAGAGGTGTGGGCAGTTTTCCACCGGGCTTTCTCAGCCTCGTAAGAGTAAGAAGTCAAGGAAAGATGGTCTGCAGAGAGACGTGAAAAATCAGGAACATTGTGTAGCAGGACCTGGGGGTCCAAATCCCAGGCCCACTGGAGAGCTATGACCCTGAACAAGTTCCTTGACATGTCCTTGACCTAACTGTAACCTGCTTCCTAAGGCTCCTTTGAGGATTGAATAAGTCAGCACATACAGCACTTGGAAGAGGGTCTAGTCCACAGTAAATGCATGCTGAATGTTAACCACTATTATTATCATTTTGCTGAACTGTAAGCTCACGAGGCCGAGGATTTCTCGCTGTTTTGTTCATACCATATCTCAGAATCTAGAACCGTGCCTCCTACACAGCAGTGCTCAACCCACGTATGATGAGTGATCAGAGACTGGAGATACCGCACAGCCCTGAGAGGACAGAGACCATGAACAGAGCCTGCTAACTCTCTCCTGATCTCAGCTCCTACCTACTCCAATGGAGCAATCAGAGCCGGGTCTTATCAAAGCCTAAATCAGATCATGTTTCTTTCCTGCTTCTCATATCTCAGGATAAAGCCAAACTCTACCCCCCTGGCTACCCAGGCCCTGCATGCTCTGGCCCCTGCCTACCTCTCTCCCCCTCCCTCTGGCTTCCTGCTCCAGTTACACTGGCCTCCTTCATTCCTCTGACGTGGTTCTCTCTGCTTCCTTCTACCTCCGGGCCCTTGCACATGCTGTTCCCCTGATGAATTCTCAGCACCAGGCTCCTTCTCAGGGAAATCTTAGCAGATGTTCTTCCCTTGTTTTCATTGGCTCCTCCATTTTACACGCCCAGAACCTCATGTTCTTTTCCTTCATGCTTCTTGTCACCTTTTGTACTTTTATCATTTATGACTATTTAGTCAATAACTCTTTCACCCTAGACCATAAGCTCCATTAAGAAAGAGAGCATAACTTCTTTTTTATTCATTGTATTTTAGTATCAAAAACAGCATATGGGGGGCGCCTGGGTGGCTCAGTCGGTTAAGCGACTGCCTTCGGCTCAGGTCATGATCCTGGAGACCCGGGATCGAGTCCCGCATCGGGCTCCCTGCTCAGCAAGGGGTCTGCTTCTCCCTCTGCCCTCTTCCCTCTCGTGCTCTCTGTCTCTCATTCTCTCTCTCTCAAATAAATAAAATCTTAAAAACAACAAAAAAAAACCTTATAAAAAAAAAAACAACAGCATATGGCAAAAAGAAGGGGCTCAACATATACTTGCAGAATGAATCCATTTGTTGAATGGGTTGACTGAACAAAGAAGTACATTTGGGACCATTCTCAAGCCTAGCTTCTTCCCGAGTCTCCTGGCCTGCTTTTGCAATAGTAACCTCCTCAGACAAGCCCCTAAATCCCCCTTCCAATCTGCCTTGAGTTTTTCTATCACTACTAAAGGCTTTGACTCCAGTCCACAGACTAAAGCCACCCTCCGAGCCGGAAGTCCCCTCCTAGAATCAATAAGCCTAGATCAATAATCACATAAAGACTTCCTTTCCCAAAAAAAGCCATTTTCATGCATGACAGAGTAAATGGTACCAGACCAGCCCTCCCACCATCAACAACCGTTAAGTCAGGACAAACCTAAACAAGGCAACTGTTGTCAGGCGTTAGATGGCAGGCAGCATAAGACTGTGGTCACTGGGGAAAAGGAAACACAGGAGCTGAGCATACATTCACTCTAGCTCTCCACCTGAGGACAGCTTCCATACCACCAGCGTGGAGTCACCTCCCCCACCAAGCATCCGAAAAGGTTATGCCTTAGAAATAAGGGTACACCTTAGAGAAAGGCTTCCCCAGACCTGCCCTGACAGAATCTAAAACCAGGTCTCAATGAAATCGACACAGGAGGGAGCACGGGAAACATCTCGGGCTTCCCACAGGTCTACCCTCACAAAATGTAAACTCAAGTCCACACAAGTTCACAGTGATCAGCCCGTTACTGAACTGCCTTCCACGGAAGATAACAAAATCCAGAGTCTTTATAATATCCAGTATACATATTATCATCCCAACATCAGAAGATAATCAACAATTACTAGACATGCAAAGAAAGAGGAAAATGTGGCTCATGGTCAAGGAAAAGAAGCAAGGAATAGACACAGATCCCAAAATAGCTACGATGTCAGCTCTAGAAAAAGCAACTGTCAGGATTTATAAGTTCCTAATATTATCATAAAATTCATTAACCAGGTGTATACACTGAAAGCACCTGTGGAGATTTCAGGGTTTGGAGGTTTGTGTTTTTTGTTTGTCTGAGTTCTACTCATATAGTTTCTCATTAAGTAGTCTCAGGTGATGCTTAGGCATCTGCATTGTTAACCTCTCTAGAGCGTTCTAACGCATCATATAATTCTTATCATAGAATACATCCACTTTAAGGTAAATACAAATAAAAGGTAAATTTATATGTATTGAAGGTTCTGCTTAATTGAGTTGGTTGGTGAGCACCAATCAGCAGTCTCGGGTTGAACAGATTACACAATTAAGAAAGATAATTTCAACTCTATTTTGCAGAAAAATGCACATGTCTCTACTTATTTGGAAAAAAAAAGTCTGAGGTTAAATCAAAAGCCACAGACAAAAAGATAATGATTAAGAAAAAAACAGGAGGAAATGCTCCTCCATTTATATTATAAATGGTATAATATAAAAAATAGCAGAGTACCAACCACTGTAACATAAAGCATATAAATGTACATTAATAGCATTGCCATGTTTGTGAATAGAAAAGGCAACAATAAATATATAAAATGCTAATAGTTATTTTATGTGTAATTTTAATTTTCTCCTAGTTTTCTATATTTTACAAGAGTGTATGGAATTTTCTCAGTGGACTCACATCTGAAATTTAGGTACAAAATAATGGTTGCAGAAACCTTCTGTCAATACACAAATCTCTGCAAAATCTAGCAATTTTTCCATCCGAAAGAGAAGGGAAGAAGTAGCTTGAGCAAGAATATCATTTCTATCCTTATCCAGCTCAGGAAGACTTTCTCCTCTAGCCTCTGAGTACCTGGACCAGCTTCTGATACTAATTCCATCTCAAGTGTTCCCATCCGTCAGACAAATAAGAGGCTGAGACACATACCACAACCCAACAAGCAACAGGCAGTTGCTGAGCAGAAGTAGCTCACCTACTGGCAAATGAAGGACACCAAAAGGAAAAGAATTCAAGTCCGTACCTGAACGACAGGGTGGCCACCAGTTGGAGCTTTGACAGCCCCTCGGCTGCCTTCGGTCTCATAGTGGGCCCGGTGATGTGGTTTGGGCTGCACCTCAATCCGCAGCTCATAGGAGCCCGACTGGTGGGACAGTGGCCACTCAAGCGGAGGGAGGGATGCGGTCACTGGGATGCTGAAGGAGGAAATAGAATCAGTCATGTATACGAGAAATCAGGACTTGTCAACCTGTACAATAAATGTAAATGGTCCCTTTTCTGGAAAAATCATGTCCAGTGAGTATAGGAGTAAAATACTGGCTGTTGGAAAGCACATATTTCTCAGAAAGGATAGGTAGGACACTTCACAAGGTAGAGATCTTTTTCTTGGTTTTCTCTTCCATCTTTGATGACAACAGTGCGACTGACATCTCCATTTATGAAGCTAACTTCATGACACGTGAATTCTAGCATATTTCTAACTGCTCTAACTTCTTTTCCTCTGGGAATTTTGAAGAGTACCACCTCCTACCTCTAAAAATCACCCTTTTCCCAGAATGTTCTCCCATTCCAAAGGAATAAGTGTGGGAGAAGGTACACTGAAGTGGAAGTCAGGGGCCCATGAGTCACTAATGCGCCCTGTTAGTTTAGGCAAGTAACCTCACCTGCTCTATCTTCAGTGTCTTATAATAACATAACAAATGGACCAGATGGCACTGGAGGGTTGTATCAGCTCTTATTTCCAAGTCCAATGCTTTCAATTAAAAGCTAATTCTAGGGAGAGACCATTTCCAGTCATAGCCATTGCTTATCACAGCAAGTATAGAACATCTAACCATAGAGATGTGGCTAAATTTAGAGACCCCTAAATTTAAAGGAAGAGTAAAGGTCAAGAACATGACTGGAGTTATCCACCCAAGTTTAAGTCCAAGCTCCACCTCTAACTACTTTGAGCAGATGCCTCCCCTCCCTAGGCCTTAGTTTCCTCAACTAAGAAGTGGGGATACTGAGATCATATAAAGAGCTTAGCGCAATAACTCCTCAAATAAATATTAGGCTATAATTATGTTTCCCTATATATAGTGCATATTTCAAATAAATAATTATCTCCTATAGACAATCTAAATTACTTGTGGTTATAGTATTAGATATATATGCCTTTACATCTGAAGTTGTAATGATATGCCTTAAGTTTTATTTTCCTATAGAATCTTTTTTTTTTTTTTAAGATTTTATTTATTTATTTGAGAAAGAGAGAGTGAGAGAGGGAGAGAGGAGAAGGGGGGGGGGGGAGTGGG